CCTGCTCTCAAGGAACAAATTGGGGGTTTACTGATAGAAAAGAAAGGCTTTATGATGTCCTTGGAAGTGGAACTCAGGATCTGAAATTTTTCAATGCTGTTTAGTATAGCAAAGGTGCTGTCTGAAAACAGTATTTTGGGAAATCATTTTCTAGAATATTCTAATATTCTATAGTGTCCTCCCTTCTCACCTGAGTACAATACTGGATTGGAAATTGGAGAATCTCGTTCAAAATTCATGTTCTTTTTTCTGATAAACAGGTCTTGCTGTCTCTAAGCCGGACCTGATCACCTTTTTGGAGCAAATGAAGGAGTACTGCGTTTTGAAGAGAAAAAAGACAATATCCATCCACCCAGGTACGTGGGAATGTCAGAAGCAGATGACACAGGTGAGAGGGCCAAAGGTCACCGAGGAAGCCAGACCTTAATGTATGGTTGAGGAGGCTCTGCTTCAGTGGAAATGAGTTTGAGAGGGCGAGGTTTGCTTCTGATATCGCCAGAGGGATGGCTACCCTCTGGCACTGACCATGGTCTTCCGCCCTCTAATGACTCTCCTGCCCCAGCGGTCTCCCATCACATTCGCAGTGAGAGCCAGAGTCCTGCCCTTGGACTGTGAGGGCTGACGTGGTCTGGCTACTTTTCGTTGCTTTCGGGCCCCAGGAAAGTCTGTGTACGATGCTGAGGAATGATGTGTTAAGCCAGTTTTAAGTTCTGTTTTGCCTCATGTAAGTAGTTTGTGAGGGAAGTGGTTGTGATCCACCCTTGCCAGTGCTTGTTATTTGTTGCCCTTTTGATAATGGCCATATTGACAGGTGTGAGGTGATGTGTCATTGTGACGGCAGTTTGCATTTCCTAGATGAGTAATGATGTTAAGCATCTCTCAAGTGTATGTTGGTAATCTGCTTGTCATCTTTGGAGAAATGCCTATTCAGGTTCTCTGCCCATTTTATATTTAGATTTTTATTTTATTTGATGTTGAGTTGTATGGGTTCTTTATATGTTTTTGAAAGTAGCCTGTTACTGGATAGAACATTTTCAAATGTTTTCCCCCATTCAGCAGGCTGACTTTTTCTTTTGTTGATAGTTTCCTTTGCTGTGAAAAGGCTTTGTAGTCTGATATAGTCGCATTTGTTTATTTTTGCATTTGCTGTCCTTGCCCTAGGAAACATCCCAAAAAAATATTCTAGAGAATGATGTAAAGAAGTTTACTGCCTAGGTTTTCTTCTAGGGGTTTTGTATTTTCAATCCATTTATATTTAAGGTAATTATTGATAGGTATGCAGTTATTGTCATTTTATTAAGTCATGTTTATGTTCCTCACCCACACTCCCACCCACTTCTTAAAGAAGTTCCTGTAACATTTTTTGTAATAATGGTTTGTGGTTGATGAACTCTTTCAGCTTTTCCTTGTCTGGGAAGCTCTTTATCTGTCCTTCCATTCTAAATGATAGCCTTGTTTGGTAGAGTAATCTTGGTTGTAGGTCCTTACTTTTAATTACTTTGAATATACATGCCAAGCCCTCCTGGCTTTCAAAGTTTCTGTTGAGAAATCAGCTGACAGTCTTATGGGAGTTCCCTTGTGTGTGACTAACTGCTTTTCTCTTGCTGCTTTTAACACTCTCTCTTTGTGTTAAACCTTTGGCCAGGTTAGGAAAATTTTCAGTTATGATTTCCTCAAATAAGTTTTCAATTCCTCTTTTCTCCTTCTGGTACCCCTCTGGTGTGAATGTTTTGCTTTTTGCTGTTCCAATTCGATGTTTTCTGCCACCCTGTCTTTGAGATCTCTTATTCTATCCTCTGCTTTATCTAACCTGTCGAGTTCCTTTAATGTGTTCATTTCAGTTATTGTATTCTTTGTTTCTGACTGGTTCTTTTTTTGGTTTCTGTCTCTGCGTAAGGTCTCATTGAAGTCATCTGTTATTCCCCTAAATTCATTGAGCATCCTTATAACCAGTGTTTTGAACTCTGTATCTGGTACATCGCTTGTGTCTATTTTGTTTAGTTCTTATTTTGAAGTTTTGTCCTGTTCTTTCATTTGGGATATGTTTCTTTGTCTCCTATTTTGGCTGCCTTCCTGCGTTTGTATGTATTAAGTAGATCTGCTATGACTCCCAGGCTTGGCAGAGTAGAATTATGTAGTAGGTGTCCTGTGGGGCCCAGTGGTGCAGACTTTATGGTCATCTCTGCTGTGTGCACCAGGGATGTCCCTTGTGTCACTCCTGTGTGGCCTCCTATTGTAGTTGAACCTTGGTTGCTGTTAGCACATCATTACATGGGATTGACCTTTAGGCTGATGGGCTGTGAGGACTGGCCGTGACTAAGATGAATTGTTCTGTGGGGACTGACCTCACAGCACACGGTGTGTTTTAGCAGTGTTCTGGTGCTTGCCTACTCTTTTTTTGTGTTGTTTGTGTATCTGGTTAGGTATTGCTCTGGTGTGGTCTCATCCTGGGCACTGGGTGTATTGGTTCTTGGGCCTCCAGGGTGGGGACTCTGGTTCACATCAAGGTCAACTGCTGCCTTTGCCCATCCTGGGGCCACCTCATAGTAGCTTCAAGGTGATCTATAGTTGGCCGCCGCCAGTTTTGAGCTTAGAGGTGCCTGGTAGGGGCTATGCTCTTAACTGAGGCCGTCTGCCACTATTGGCAGGCTTGGGGTCGCTCAGCAAGAGGTAGGGGGTTTGGCGAGGCTGGTTCCTGCTTCTTTTGGGTTTGAGAGTTCTTTTGTGAGTTGAGCAGGTGTTTGTATGGAGCAGCTGCTGAAAGAGGTTCACATTTGGCACAGAAGTTGAGTATGGTGGAGTCTTATGGAATCACCAGGTGGAACAAATGGTGGTTAATGGAGTATTCAAAGTTGGTGCCAACTTGCACTTGCAGACTGGGCCAGGGGGAAGGCTCAAAAAAATAACAATGGGACTTGCCAGCACTTCTCTCTGGAGAGAGCTGCCCTGACCCCTGTCCCTACAACCCTTGCCCTGACGTAAGTCAATTCAGTTTTTTCCATACGTTCCTGGTGCTCTTTCAGCTGCTTCCTTTGTTCTGGGGCTCTGAGCTGGTGAATGTGTGCATGGCCTTTTTAAGACCTGCAGTGCTAAGGTGTCTAGAAGAGACCTTGGACACTAACCCTGCTGGTTTTCACTGCCAGATATTTTGGGGACTTTTGTTTTCTATATTGATGTCTCACACTGGGGAGCCCCATGCGGGCTGGAAACCCTCTCCCCTCAGTGGAGACTTTTGCATCTGATACTGCCCTCCTGTTTCTTAGCCACCACACTGTGGAGGTAGGATCAGCCTGCTCTGTGTCTCTGTCCCTCCTAGACTAAGTATGTCATCATTTTTATAGCCGTAGCTATAGGATTTCTTCTATTCAGCTTGGCTTCAGGTATTTCTCAATGATGGTTCCTCTAAAATTTAGTTGTGCCTTGGGAGGAGGTGAACATAGCGTCTACCTACTCTGTAGTGTTGACCAGCAGTCTCTTCTGTACTTTCTTGATGACAGTAGCTTTGGAATATGTTTTAAAATCGGAAAGTGTGATTAAATTTGAATTTATACTTATTGATGTTAGATTAAGTTTTTCTATTATAGCTAACAGCATCATTTAGGATTTTGATAGCGATTGTTTTGAATCTGTTGATCATCTTGGACGATACTGGCAGCTTGTAGTATTAATCATTTAATCCAGGTCCATGGGATGTGTTGTATTTATTGCTCCTTTAATTACATCCAACAGTATTCTATAATTTTTATTATATATGTCTTTCACCTCTTTCATTAATTCCTTAGTATTCTTGATGCTACTGTTAATATAATTATATTCTTAATTTGGGGGTTTTTTTGGATCACTTTCTGTTAATCTGTAGAAACAACTAATATTTATGTTTTAATTTTGTAGACTGCAATTTGCTACATTTTTTGAATTCTGTTTGGTGCATTCCTTAGGATTTTCTGTTATACGATTCTGACACCTCTTCGAATGTGTTTTATTTTTTTCTTCTGTAGTTCTTCTGGTAAGGACATCTGGTACACTGTGAAATCAAAGTGGTAGGAGTGGGCATTCTGACCTTTTCTGTGATTATAGAGGAAGAATTTCAGTTTTTCACCATTGAGTATGATGTTACTGGACTTTTCCCAAATGACCTTCATTACATTTAGTTTGTTTCCTTTGATTCCTGGTTTGTTGAATGCTTTATCATAAAAGGTAGTTTAATATTTTCTGTTTATTTTTCTCCACCATTTGAAAGTAAATGCATGGTTTTGACCTTTATTCTGTTAATGTGCTCTTATATTTTTCAATTTCCATACTTTGAAAAGTATATTTACCTGAGTGTAGTAAGTGTGATCATTTCTTTGGCATCTTCCAGATGGGTCTTCTCAAGATACCCAGGGCTTGTTGCCAAAGCCAGGCATAGAAGATTCGTTCCACAACATGTTTCTGGTAAGATAAGGAAGATGTAGTTCGAACGTGAGGGGGTGTGCAATGGGCACAAAGGATGTTATGGACATAAGCAAACTGGAATAATTACCCATAATAAAATCCTTCTCGCCAAAATAGATCAAAGACATAATCATCTTAGGAAAACTTCCGCTTTAAGTCAGTTACATTTGCAGAACAAGGTAGTCTGTAAACAATTTTTTAAACAGATAGTGTCTGAAAGGAAATTTGGTTAATCGTGGAAGTCACTTAGTTCACGGTACAAATAATCATTTGAGTTATTTAAAATGTCGAATTGGATTAAACATTTAGTTAAATATTTCTAAAAGTCAGAGATCGAAAAATGAAGATAGAAATTCTAAATGTGATGAACTTGAGAGTCCCTTAACCAAGGATTCATTATTCTTCCATTGAGAAATAATCCTTCCTTGTTTCAAAGGATAATTTTTATAAACTTGGGGGAGAGTCTTTGTATAACCATCGTGGTTCAATAGGTATCAGAATATTTAATTGGGAAAACCTTTACATGTGTAATTTCACTAAATGCCTTTTTATCTTCATTGATTACTAGAGTACATGTAATGGAAAGAGAAGTTATCAATTCAACAAATCTTGGAAAAACTTTAACCAAGGATCAGATCGTAAAAAACATAAGAGAACTCATCTCACAGAGAACAAATATAAATGTAGCAAAGACTTTGATCAAAGCTCAAATCTTATACATCAGGATATTTATATTGCAAAGAAGATTGACAAACGTAGTGAAAGTGGCAAATCTTTGAACCAGTCTTTAAATCTTACTAAACATCAGAATAGTCATACTGGGGAGGAATCTTACAAATGTAGAGAATGTGGCAAAACCTTTAACCAGCGCTCCAGACTTACTGAACATGAGAGAATTCATACTGGAGAGAAGCCTTACAAATGTCGAGAATGTGGCAAAGCCTTTAACCAGCACTCCAGACTTACTGAACATGAGAGAATTCATGCTGGAGAGAAGCCTTACAAATGTCGAGAATGTGGCAAAGCCTTTAACCAGCGCTCCAGACTTACTGAACATGAGAGAATTCATACTGGAGAGAAGCCTTACAAATGTCGAGAATGTGGCAAAGCCTTTAACCAGCGCTCCAGACTTACTGAACATGAGAGAATTCATGCTGGAGAGAAGCCTTACAAATGTCGAGAATGTGGCAAAGCCTTTAACCAGTATTCAAGCCTTACTCGCCATCAGAAAATTCATAGTGGAGAAAAGCCTTACACGTGTAAAGAATGTGGTAAAGCCTTTAACCGGTACTCAAACCTTACTCAGCACGAGAAAATTCATGCTGGAGAGAAACAATACAAATGTGAAGAATGTGGCAAAGCTTTTCACCAATACTCAGTCCTTAGTCAGCATCAGAGAATTCATGCTGGAGAGAAGTCTTATAAATGTAGAGAATGTGACAAAGCCTTTAAGCAGTGGTCAAGCCTTACTCGACATCGAAGAATTCACACTGGAGTGAAACCTTACAAATGTAAAGAATGTGGCAAAGCCTTTAACCAGTGCTCAAACCTTACTCAGCATCAGAGAATTCATGTTGTAGAGAAAACTTACAAATGTCGAGAATGTGGCAAAGCTTTTAAGCGGTACTCAAACCTTATTCAGCATGAGAGCATTCATACTGGAGAGAAACAATACAAATGTGAAGAATGTGGCAAAGCCTTTAACCGATACTCAGTTCTTACTCAGCATCAGAGAATTCATGGCAGAGAGAAGCCTTACCAATGTAAAGAGTGTGACAGAGCCTTTAAGCAGTGCTCAAACCTTACTCGACATCAGAGAATTCACACTGGAGAGAAACGTTACAAATGTAAAGAATGTGGGAAAGCCTTTAATCAGTGGTCAACCCTTACTCGACATCATAGAATTCATACTGGAGAGAAACCTTATGAATGTAGAGAGTGTGGCAAAGCCTTTACCCAGCGCTCACACCTTACTCAACATCAGAAAATTCATGCTGGAAAGAGGCCTTAAAAATGTAGAAAATGTGGCAGAATCTTTAACCTGTGCTCAATCTTTACTTGCTATTAGAAAATTCATAGTAAAGAAAAGTCTTACAAATGTAAAGAATGGGGCAAAGCTTTTAACCCTTCCCCATTTAGAAAAAAGTGTAGCTTGCTGTTAGCATTAATTTAACATCACACGTAGGAATGCTGCATTTTCTAGGATTTGACATTTTCAGTGATTGAGAATTATTATATTTTGTAAATGGGATACCACTAAAAATAATACTATAAATAGAATGATGTTATTTGTTTCCAAAGACTACCAATATACTAGAACAAATGGAAAAATAATAATAAAAGTGAGATATTTTGTGCAAACATTGGGGGTAAGGTTAAGACTATAATCTACGGGTTATCGCGGGGTAAACTCTACAGCCGCAAGTGCTGCTGGCAAATATTCTTTGGGCTAATGGGAAATGGGTTAACCAGCGCTTAAAGCTTACTGATAATGAGAAAATTAATACTGGACAGAAGCCTTACAAATGTAGATTGTGGGAAAGCCTTTAAATAGTGTTTATATCTTACTGAACAGAGAAAACATGCTTGAGACAAACAGTATAAATGTAAAAAAAAGAAAAGAAACCTTGCAAAGCCTTTCTTCAGCATTCACATCTTAACACGCTATAATTCATAATGTTGAGAAACCTTTTAGCTGGATTGACAGCCTTACTCAATATCAGAGAATGCATAGTGGAGAGAAATGGCTATGCTTGTAATAAGGGAACTTTGTTCAAAATACTTGGCTATGCTTGTAATAAGGGAACTTTGTTCAAAATACTTCAGAAAGTTTAAGTTGGAAAGTGACTTTAAAGAATTTTTTTTTAACCAGAATGTTTATTGTGTTTCTAATCATTGAAATCATTAAGATGAACTGGATGCTGCAACAGCTGCCCTCTTGTGTTTAGGTGTTCCTTCATGGAATCCATTCCTCAATCTGCAGTATGCAATTTTTAGGTGCCTCATTCTACCAGTCGCAGCGGTATTTCATCTTTTAGCCTTGGCCTTCCACTTATACTTTCTATTCCGTTTGGCAGGGTAGCCACATTTGCCACAGGTAGACTTCTAAAGGTGGTAGGCTTTGGAGCCACAGTGGTGGCATAATGTGTGTGTCTTATTGTGATGCTTTCTGAATGATGTTCCCTTTGTCATCTCATTTCTATGGCCAAGACCAAAGAGTGAAGGTATTTTTAAAAAGTGCAAAAGTGGTCAAAAATCAAACCTAAAATATTGGACAATCCATAGGTGAAAGTAGTGAGTCAATTACACTTTTGAGATAGTATTCTAAAAGAGAATACTTACAAAAATTAATCCAAAGTTTAGTGAATTTTAGATAACTTTACTGTTTAGTATGCTTCAAAGTATTGAGGACACGGATGTCAGGACAGGTGTATCTATTTAGAGAATATCTTATTTTTGGCAGTATTTGAGATTTTCAAAAAAGTATTGTAATTCAACTATCAAATCACTTCTTGCTATGCCTTTATTTTTGCATGTATGTGAATTATGGGGTTGATTGTTGCTGCCTCCTTTGAAGCAAATCTGAGAGCCCTTGTGTATTAGCTGGGATTCACTCATATCTACTTTTCAAGGATGGCTGAAGACAATGTAATGTACAATGTATGAAGAAAATCTAAATGAAGATGCTGATTGTGGTTGACTTAGAACATTGATATAAGTCACCATGAAGTGGATGTTCAGGGCATCATTATTTGCATTAGTGTAAGACAGAGAAACATTGTGAATTTTAACTAGTTTTACCAAGTACTTTTTAAGGGAAAAAGGGTGACAGTTCATAAAACTCTGGCTGTATCTTCATAGTAGCCATAGATAGAAGTCATGAATACTATTTGATTTGTTTGAAATAAGTCTTCACAAATATCTCAACAGTATAGATGATTCATCCCTAAGTGCATAAAATTATTGTATGTCTTTGTTCACTAAATAACTTGCCTCGGTCTTGAAAACCAGAGAATACACTGCTCTCTCAGAGAATACACTTCTAAATGATCTCACAGATCATTATATTAGAACAGTATTGCTTCTTGAATACTTGTAATAGTAATATGATTTTGCAAATGGTCACACTGTGGGAATTACCATCCTTTATTTAGATTATATGTGAACTTAATATTTACATTTATAAAGCTGATTGATTTTTAATTTGTCAACACTGATGTATAATGAATGATTAGTTATCTTCCACTAATGTTAACCTGTCCAATTTTATTCAAGATTGTAGGTAATATGCTATTTGGAAACAGTGAAATGTTATCTGTAGTTATTTTTTTTTCCCAGTGGCTTTAAGTTTCAAATAATGTGGGACCATCTGCCCTATAACTTATATGTTTTTTCCTCCTTACTGTAACTACAGGAATATTGTGATGGTTACAGTAAAGATATTACAAGAGTATTGTTGAGAGTTTAGCTAAACTACTCCATGATATTGTTGCCTTGGCATTCATTTTGTGTAGCTAAGGAGGCTTGAACTGACATTAGCCCCACTGCTAGCACATAGACTAGACATCAGCTCACAGAGTCAAAAGTAAGTATAAGTTCCTTATATGACTTCTCTAGCAGTCCCTGTGGGTAAGTCTCCCTTGCCTCTCAGGGTTTCACCTTGTATGCCACTTAAGTAATATCTCTGCAGGCTTTACCAAAACTTTCTTCATTATGGTTTGAATTAACCCATCTGAATTTAGTTAACTCGTGAACTCCAAGGGACTCCTCCCAATGATCCTAATAAAAGCATGTACCCTGGGTCATGCCACTCTGCCTGCATCCTGCCTTGGCCTCCCCATGTAGCCCCGTGAAGCATGCTGTGTGTTTTTTCAGGGCCTGTGAGTTATAAACTTGTCTATTTCAATTTCTCTTGGGGTCTTTTGTCTAACTGCTGCTCATGATTCAGTATCAGGGTGCTCTGTTTAACAAATGCTCATCTAACAGTCATAATGAAAAAAATTAGGAGCTATCCTTTTCGAATTCTGAATCACTATAACATTTTACCCTATATTTTTCTTTGAACTTTTTCTGAGCTTCAATGACAGATTTTCATTGCTTTGCTGTACACTGACTGCAATACGTGAATGTATTAAGCTAACTATACAACTTAGGAGGAAGGAGTGAGTGTATATTTTTGTATATATATCTTCAGAAGGAAAAGTAGTTGCTTCAAATTGGTAATTTCAAAGTACTTTATTTTTTATGCCATTGTAAATGGGACTGTTTAATTTCTCTTTCTGATCATTATTGGTGTATAAAAACGCAACTAACTTCTGAACATTAATTTTGTATACAGCTACTTGACCAAAATCAGTTGTAAGTTCTAATAGTTCTTTTGTTGAATTTCCGGAGTTCTCTCTACATAGTATGTCATCTGCAAATAATGACAGTTTTAATTCTTTTCCAATTTGGATGCCTTTTAAATACCTATGAATAAATTTAACCAAGGAGGTAAACTCAGAAATTTATAAAGACATTGTAGATAGAAAATGAAGAAGACAAATAAATGTAAGAATATACTGTGTTCATGAATGAGAAGAATTAATGTCATTAAAATGTTCATACTATCCAAAGCTATCTATAGACTCAGTGCAATTCATATCAAAGTGCCAATGGTATTTTTCTTAGAACTAGAACAAATAATCCAAAGATATATATGTAACCAGAAAAGACCCTGAATAGCCACAGCATTCTTGAGAAAGAAGAACAAAGTTGGAGGTATCATGTTACTTTATACTACAAGGCTATAGTAATCGAAACAGCATGGTACTGGTGTAAAAACAGACACATCAATCAATGGAACAGAATAGAGTCCAGAAATAAACCCGTGCCCATATGGTCATTTAACCTATAATAAAGGAGGCAACAGTATGCAGTGGCATAGAGACAGTCTATTTAATAAATGCTGTTGGGAAAACTGGACAGATACATGCAAAAAAGAAACAACCACCTTTTTACACCATATACAAGAATAAACTCAAAATGGATAAAAGACATTCAAACCCATCTACTATATATATAGAAAAAGAAAAAGAAATTCTAGAGACGAAGCACTTATTAGAAGAAATTAAGAATGAAATAGCTAGCTTAGGAAATAGTGCAAACCAGATGTAGGAAATAACTAGTGATATTTCAAGGACAAATCTGGAAATGATGCAGATAGAAGTGAGGCTTGAGAATGAAAAAAAAAATACTAGATCTGACACCATCAGAAAAGGAACAATGTAAGAATAATAGACATACCAGAACGAAGAGGGGGAAGGGAACAGAGCCTATTCAAACAAATAGTTGACGAGAACTTCCTAAATCTATAGAAAGAACTGAGTCCTTGAGTCCAAGAGGCAAACAGAACACCTAATTATTTCAATCCAAAAAAGTCTTCTCCAAGACGCACTAAAACTATGAACATAAAAATATTACATAATGGTTAGAGTCGGTAAAACATTTTTAAAAGACAATAGATACAGCACCTCAAACTCACTAGATAATTTGAGAGCAAAAACAAGGGGAGGGATTAAAGGTCTGAATCTGCAAAGGAGAATGGAGATAAGACATGCAGATAATAAAGGCCTACTGTGTTTATGAAACTTTTTAAAATAAATTTGGTGGTAACCACACACCGAAAATCCAGAACTGAGACAATGTAAATCAAAACGGAACAGGAAAAATTTGTAAGATACTGTCAAATTGAAATAACAGAACCACAGGACAAAGAAACAATTGACATTTCAAGCTACCAGAAAACAAATGATAAAATGGCTGTAGGAAAACCTTGTATTTTAATAATCATTCTTAATGTAAATGGACTGAACTCACCAGTAAGAAAGCACAGAGTAGAAGATTGAATCAAAAAACCCAACCATATGCTGCCTTCAAGACACAGCTCAGCTGCAAGGACAAGTATAGACTCAAAGGGGTGAAAGAAAAATACTCTAAGCAAATGCCATCCAAAGAAAAGTGGGTATAGCC